GGCAGGGGGGGCCGCAGGCGGGGGTGCAGGCAGATCGAACCAAACCGGCACAGCTTGTGTACCCCTGGCAGCCACCCTGGCTTCCCTGGAGCGACCTGCCCCTCCAGCGGCCCTCCTGACGGCTCGGGGCTTTCCACCTTGCTGGCCTGAGTCGCGTCGTAAGCAATTGTGTCTGAATACGTTTTTGGTTTTTTGTCTTTTCCCCCCAACTAATTTTTAGTTGGATGCTGATAACTATGAGACTGATCCGTGTCTGAAGGAGATTCGGAGAGCAGAAAATTATTCTTGGATGGATATAATAACCATACATAAAGACAAGCTTCCAAATTACGAGGAAAAGGTATGCGAGTCTTTGGTTTCAGTGAGGACCTGCACGCTGAAGGCTACCGCTAGAGTGTGCAGCCGGCTTCTCAACGCCTGCGCACCCTGGGCAGGGGCACAAAGATGAGGTCTTCGTGTGTAAAACACATCCTGTACTGAAGTCCTTAGCATTAAAAAAGCAGTTTTGATATTATTTTAAAAATAGCAGAGGCCTTTTGCTTCTGCAGATTGCGTTCAAAGGTTTTAAGGATAGTTTCCATCACCGTGTCGCTTCAAAACTAAGTTTCCTACCAGCAGAGCCCCACCGATGCTGACCTGTCCTCAGAGAGCCTCCCCGGGATGAAGGCAGGCGGTTGCCAGCTGGGCATGGGCTTTGAAGGCTGGAACATCCTAATGGCTGCTTGCAAAATACACCTTTTCAAAGTGAATGTTAACCTCGTGGAATTGGAGGGATGCATTCTCTGTATAAGAAGATATTTTTTTTTTTACCTTGGGAAGCTGGTACCTTGGCTATTTCATAACAGCTGAATGCAAAATGGTGCCAGGCTCTCAGCTGAGCCTCCTAGAAGGAGCTTTTTCTTCCTGGCCTCCAGGTCTGGCGTGCTGCTCTGACCTGAGGACAACAACCCACATGCTTTCATTAAATTTCCATTTACCAGTTTAAGCCTGTTGTGTTACATACTGGTTTTAAATTGATGAGAAGGTGAATTAGGTAGCGACTCGGGTTGCCTGGGTGGGCTCTGTCTGACACAAAGACAGGCTGTTATTGACAGGGCCTCTTGCTCATCATGCTGTGCCAGATCAGTACAGGCTCGGGGACATCTGCACTGGTGTGGCTGCACAGCATCCAGGCCCGAGCAGGTGACAGTCCCTGACACTGCGCTGCTCTCTACGCACTAACCGGCTCAGGTCTCTGTTAATTGAGCCTTTAAAGCATGTTTTGTTCTGTGCTGTGAAATGTACAAAGAATTCACCATTCCAGAACAAATGAGAATGTTGCTGCTGCTGCTCAGGACAAGAGAGCCCGGAGCTGGGGCTCACTGTGTGAGGGCAGGCATGACATGCTGTTTACATCAGATTGCCGTAAGTGGGCCATATTTGGCAATAACTGCATTTTCACATAGAGTTGTAGTAGCCCATGGGGCTAATTCAACCCTACACCAGTGTAAAAGGGGATAATCTGTAGCTCTGTCAGGAAAAAAAAGACACAAAATTATTAAAGGGAATGACTGTGAGGACCTAATCCTGCTGTGGGAAGCTTTACCTGCCTCTCCCTCTAACGGGTATAAGCATTACTGCTATTCAGAGGCTGCTTACGTGCAGCTGTAGCTGCTGTTTCTTGTCAGAAAAATTCCTGTCTTCCAAAGGAAATACAGCAGCCTACTTAGAAGCATCCTGAGACAGGGTCTGGCTGGCTGGATTGGCCATTTTAACCAGGTTGGTCTCATCTGTTCGTTAAATCACTGCACAGTTACCCTTTGAAAGCCTTTGTCTGCTTTGCCACGTGTTTCTACCGGATTTCTTTGCAGTTTTTTTCTGTGTTCAGTAATTTTAAGAGATACTTGCTATTCCTAGATAAAGACATTTTATGAAGAACATTTACACCTAGACGATGAAATTCGCTACATCTTAGATGGATCTGGCTATTTTGATGTTCGAGACAAGGATGACAAATGGATTCGGATTTCCATGGAAAAAGGAGACATGATAACCCTCCCTGCTGGCATATATCACCGATTTACACTGGATGAGAACGTATGTTGTTATAGATTACCGTACATTTTGATGACAAATCCATGCGAATATATATCACATTAGTAACTGCATGCCCTGAGACTTGCAGTTCATTAGCAAAACATATTAAATATGAAGTAGGAATATGAAAAATACTAAATAATTCACAGCATCTGAACCTTTCATCTCCAGGTCACAAATCCAGCTTCCTCTCATCAGCTGTAACTGCAAGTCATTGCCACGTGATATCTGTAGCGTATTTTATGTGACAGCGGCATGAGAGCCAAGCCCTGCGGCTGTCCCTCCCACAATTGCCCCTGTTGTTGGTTGAGGTGGAGATGGTGTAGATGGGTCCTTCTGTGTTGCCTTGCTCTGTATCTTCGTGGGGATAGACGGAGCGTATCTGTCCAGCAGTGGCATTTTTCATGAGTGCTAAATTCACCTTCAGGGAAAGAAGGATTTAAGGGTCCAGAGCAACTACATGCAGCTAGCGTGTGCCAGGCTGGATTGCTGGCTTCACAGGAGGTGACCTGCTTTCGGAGTGTATTTTTGGCAATGGGATTGTGAGACTGGCACTTGCAGTCCTATCTGTGCGCCTTTCCTTGCGGGCTTTTATAAATACGTTTGTAATCTCGGCATTACCCCCAGAAAATGGGGAAATGTGTGCTGTCTCCTGCATGGCAAAATCCCATCCCTGGCGTAGTCATGAGAATGGTATAATTTTGAATCAGCTGTCCAGATAGCAGTTACCCTATATGTAAAAAAGGGATACGCCGCTTTGGTGAAAAACCCGACTTCACGTCCGTGTTTTGAGATCCACAGTGAATCAGCTACAATTGCTAGTTTAAGGCTTTGTCTTTACACAGACAAAATGTCAAGAGTTATGGGTTGAACCTGCACAAAGTCCTAAAAGTTTGTCCACTTCAGGAACTTTAGCCCAGAAGTGCCATCTTCAAAGTAAATTCTTTAGGGACTTCTAGAACCTTGCATTTTGCAGCTAAGTTCTTCAGGCACGTAACTTTATTCTTGATGTTGCTGAGCACCTGGCTGCAAGATAAGCACTTGGCAGTGTTTACAAAATAGGTAGGGTCTAAACCTGTAGTGTAGTGGACAGAAGAGGAGAGGAAAGTTCCTGATAGCTCAGTGGTTGTAGCACTTCTGCAGGATGTAAAATCCCATTTTATGCTGCCACAGCTGTACCTCGCACCTGGCGTACTTTTGGTTAGCCAGCACAGGGGCTGTTCCTTTTCCTTTTGGAATCTGGAGACTTTTCATTTCCCATAGCGTTATTTTCTGGCTAGTTTATGTGCTCCCCATTCAGCTTTTATGGCTGTCACTTTGAAGCCTCTGGTATTCCTCAGTCATTGCGTAGCCATCTTGGGTATTCTGATTGCTGTTGTTTAACTAAGCAAGTTGTAGACGCTGCATTGCTCAGTGTTGTGGATCCAATGCAAAATGATTTGCATAAGACAGGATTTATTTGGTTTCTTTAAAACAGGGAGAAGCACTGTCTCTGTCCCAACCTGGAGGTGCTGGTTGTGACACAATATATCACTGCATGGGTGCAGAATCTCCCAGTGCAGTAGCTGGGAGCAGGAACAGCAGCACAGTGGTACAATTTTCTGGAACACGTGAAGCTTTCAGTCTATCTTGAAATGGTTTCAAAAACTGCTGCAGAAGTGCAAATGAAACCATTAACTTCAGAATTAAGATCCCCTGGAAAGGAGCTCTTGAATTACTTGTGACTTCTTGTTCTTTGACAGAATTACGTGAAGGCAATGAGGCTATTCGTTGGAGAACCCGTCTGGACAGCATACAACAGGCCGGCTGATGATCTTCCTGCTCGGAAACAATATATGAAGTTTTTGGCTGAAGAAGCACAGTAATGGTGCCTGAGACCTGACAGGTGGAACAGCCTGAAGCCCTGTCAGAATAAATCTCACTGGTAGCTTTTCACTGATTAGGTGTCTTCTATTTACATATACACTTAGAATCACAGAATCGTAGAAAAACTTAGGTTGTAAGATCATTTGGAGGTTATCTAGTCCCACCCCCCTCAACTTCAAAGCTAGACCAGGTTGCTCAAGACCTTGAGGTTTGGAAACCTCCATTCCACAGCCTGTCTGGGCGCCCATTCCAGCACTTGGCTGCTCTTGTGTGCAAGCATTTGTTCTTCATGGCCAACTCCCTGGTTGCAGCTTGTGATTGCTGTTTCCTGCCCTTTCATCGAGTGCCTGAGAAGAGTCTGGCTCTGTCCTCTCCACAGTCCCTTCTGTAGCGGGAAACTGTAGTTAGGTCTCCTCTCAGCCTCCTCCAGGCTAGACAAAGCAGTGTCCTTAGCTGGGCTCTCTGCGCCCCAAGTTGTTAAGGAAGATGTTACCACCTTTTGCCCTTGATTTGATTACTGAGGAATGTCACACGTAACCGCCTGACAGACTTGAACCACTGACTGTTTTGAGCTTGATGGTCCACAAATTTTTCACCCAGCTTGTTCATATCCTCAGTCTGGCTACAAGGCTACTGTGGGACACGCTGTGTGAAGCCTTGCTGTGGTCAAGGTGAATGACATCTGCTGATTCCCCTCCGCCACAGAGCCAGTCGTTGCCGCCTAGGTGGCTGTCAGGATGGTCAGGCAGAACGTGCCCTTGATAAATTCGTGTTGACTGGTTGTTCCCCGTCACCTGGTATTTCATGTGCCTGGAATGGCTTCCATAATGGCTTACTCTCTAATTTTCCTGGGGACTGAAGTGAGGCTGACCAGCCTGTAGTTCCCCAGATCCCCTTTCTTGCCTTTTTGAAGGTGGCAGTACCATTTACCTTTTTCTGGTCAAAAAGGTTTTCTTGATCACTGTGACCTTTCGAAGATGCCAGCAGCCTTGCTGTGACATTAGCTATTTGCATTTACAGTTGCTCAGGAATCCATTTTCTAACCCTTTTTTCCTTGATAGTTCTGGCAGGTAGAATTGGGAGAGGTGGGCTACATTAATATTCATTCTGCTCTGAATCCATGCTAATGAACTACGTAGGATTCTATTTTTAATTAAAGAAAATAAACCCTGCTTTATTCTTGTCTAAAAATGTTCATAAGATAAATTTGCATAATCGGCATTTTAGTATGCAGCTTCCCAAGTTCTGCCCTGGTACATAAAGCTGTGGTTTTCTCTCAGTAAAATGTAGCAGTTTGCTCTTGTGAATTATTAGTAAAGTTACTTTGACTTGGGTATGTGTTTGGTTTTTTTTTTTTTCCTTGTGCTGACATTAAGGACACATTGAACAACAGCGTTATTGTAATTGTTAATCATCAGCTTTTATTCCTTGTGCTGCCTACTGGCTTGGTCTGTAACACGGGACAAATCATTAACTGTGTGCCTCGGTTTCTTCAGCTGTGAGGTGGGGAAGAGTAGGCTTAGCTGCGCTGATCCAGTTTTCAGTAAATGCCTTGCAGTTACACGGGACGTGCAGCTCCTCAGGCACCAAAGCTTTTTGGTATAAATTTGCTTGCCTTGCAGTTACACGGGACGTGCAGCTCCTCAGCAACAGGCACCAAAGCTTTTTGGTATAGATTTGCTCTTTACGATGCTGAATTACGTCAGCTGGGCAGATGCACTGCTTGCTCCAGCTCTGATGGATGAGGAGGAGAGCATGGGCTCTGCATCGGTTGCAGCTTGTGTGCCGAGTTCAGCTAGACACCACGCAAGCTTCTGTCTTGCAGTTTCCTGAATAAGCACCACTGTAGAAAGAAGACAAAACTTGGGCTAACATGAACTTTCCTAAGGCAGCAGACAGTAGATAATTGGCCTTTCCCACTGTTCTTCCTCACGGGTGTGAGACGCAGCCCGTCTTCAGGAGGCGATGTTTTCCTCGTTTTGTAGCAGCATTACTTACAACCCTTTCTAGGTGCTTTATTTCTTTTCTGAAAACAAAGTTGTAATTTTGAAATGAAACTGCACTAGCTTTCATCTTAAAAATTGGAAAAGGTGAGTAAAAAAGGCACGTTATTTCCTGCCTTAGGGTCTCGGGCTGCAAGCTGGATGAGGCGCCAGCGGAGGCTCAGTTTGTGGGAGGCAGAGCAGGCACAACCCACGCTTGCAAAATGTGCTCCCTTCGGCCTGTACTGGCTTTTGGGCAGTGGTTCATAAGCCTGGCTGAAAAATCAGCACTACTAGCAAATGCCAAGCTTAACTATAGTTGGGGGCACACCGGCGGGTAGGCTTGCACGGATGCTGTGCTGTGCTGCACCACGCGCCTCACTGGTTCAGGGATTTTTGTGCCACTTGCCTGGAAGCAGCGCTTGAGTGTCCTTTTGTACAGCACACTGGGGCATCCTGGTCCCAGTATAAACTTTGGGGATTTTTTAATGTACAGCTGCAGGAATGAATGACAGTTACTGCCTGCGGCAAGTTTTATTTCTTTGACTTATGTGCCACAGAAAATTGTGTTTCCAAATGTGAAGTGACTGCTTTCTCCTGGTGCTGGTATCCAATCTAATTCATCCTCCTGCTTTTGTTTTCAATTTTTTTTAACAGAAGCCAACATGAGACTCTTAATTCCTCCTATGGGTGTCTCCATTTTCATCTCTCTCTCTGCAAAAGGAGCAGTGGCGACAGCAACGTGGGCTTCCAGGAACCCCACTTACAGCTCAGCCATCCTGTAACAGCCCGGGGGAGCGACTGGGAGGAGAGAGCTGGTAACTCAGTCTCCTCAGGAGAGATTTGCAGTCGGGGGGCCGTGGTGAGGGATGGCCAGTAAAGCGGCTGCCCGCAGCGATCGCTTTCAACAGCTCGCTGATGTAGGATGCGACCTGGGAAGCAGGACTGAACCACCTTGTTTTGTTGCCTCTCTGGAGGAATACCTGTACACGGCTCCCATCCCCTGGCTGTCAAGAATAACACACGATCCCACCGCTGACGATCGTTCATCATTTTCATAGCACAATGCATTCTGCCGCTGAGAGGTGGCGGGGGCTGGGGGGGCCTTACTGTCAACGCTTTTGAGCCCGTGCCCTTTAGTGCTATAGGTGTCTTTGAAAGGGTGAAAGCTTTGCTCTCCTAAAGTGCTTTTTGTCAGCCAGGAAAAAAGCAATTTGGGGCTGGTATAAAGATTCTACACCTGTGAAGAGATTACATAGGAGATTACACTGGGAGGAAACAGCTGGGCAGAAAAAATGTTAATATTAATAGAAAACACTCTAGAGAGTGGAGAGGAGGGAGGGAGAGCACACCGTTCCTTCAGATGGAAAATGCAGCTTATTTTCATGGTGATTTTTTGTGTTTGTTTTTTTTCTTTTTTTCTTTTTTCCATACACCACATATCTAAAAGTGCAAAGTGAAGTCGATTTGTGGTCCAAAGACATGAGTCTGTTTTCCTGCAGCTAGTGGAAAACCTTGGTGCATTGATGTAGTATGAAAATTTATGTAAGTGGTTCCAGCAACATCACGCTGGCAGCATTAACTCAGGCAAGGGTTAGTATTTCAACTCCTCCAGGATGAGAACCTTTAAAAAAAAAAAAAAAAAAAAAAAAGGTAGGAGAAATGGCATTGAATTGTGGGGTTTGAAGATAGCTTTTTTGGTACCAATTCTTCCACTTTAATCCAAACTCTTCCCAAGCGGTACATATCTCGGTTTCTCCTGACCAGCTTAAGAGAGCAGTGGCCTTGTTTTCTGCGAGTGAACTATAAGAAAGCTGTGGATGGTCAGTGGGCTTTTTAATAAATTAGGTGGGCAACCAGATGGCTGCAGAACCTGTGATGCTGCCTTCCCTTGTTATGTGTCCTGGGGCAAGTGTCCTGTGCTGGGTGTGGAAATGCCAAGACATTTCACAGCCAGTTAGTAGTTAACCAACAACACCCACACCAGGCACTCAGGGGTGCCTACAAGCGGGTGTGGGCCTGACTTGTGTACTGCTCAAAAGTTACTATTATCTGTTTGGGAGTCTTCCTGTGAAAATGATAGGAATTCTCCAGTTCCCTTCCCTCTCCCCAAAACGGGCTCACTGCCAGTTATCTTCTATTTCCCAAAGCCAAGTAAACATACCAACTAATTGGGGGATGAATTAGTGTTGCCATTTAAATATTCCTGCCTGAGAGATCCAAATTTGATCTGATTTGTTGCACTCATTGTGACTTTGCAGCTTGACTCCCAAAACATTTTGTGTGTTTGCAAAAATGTACCGTGCTGTACCTGCATTTTGAAAAACCTGTTTTTTATGTGACCGAGTCACTAGCTCTCACTTTTTATTAATTGTATAAATTTGTATAAAATTGTATAAATACCTGAGCAGCCAGGCCAAGCTCTCGGCTGTGCTTCCCCCCTGTGGTCACAGGCACTTGAGCCTAGAGAATTTAATTTGGGTCCATGCTCAGGGTTTGTTTTTTTTTTTCCCCAAATGATTCAGGCAACATAAAACTGACCCGCTGTTGGTGGGAAGAGGGAAGCTGTCCCTGGAGATGCTGTAGCAAGGGGATGCAAAGCAGCAGCTGGGTTATGCATGGGCTGCTACCGTGGCCCCAGGCTGGGCCAGGGCTCAGTCCTGCCGCCTGCCACGGGAGCGTGTGCCAGCATCCAAAGTACTTGCTCACATACTGAGCTGCAAAGAATGGATTTTTTTAATTATTGTTTTTTTTTATAAACAGCTCTAGTAATTCTGTTCTGCAGCTTTTGGCTTCGGTATTTTCAGTTTAGTTCTGATAGTTTTTCAAAGCCGGAGAGGAACTCCTTCCTTCCCTGCCTCAAGCAAGTAACATCCCATTTTTTCCCTCTTTGTAGGCAAATTACAAGTCATTGTTGCTGGCTTTCAGATGGATTCATTTTAATGACTCTCATACGTATTAAACATCTGCAAATGGCTGCCCAAAGCTAGGACAGGATCAGGTCTTGATCCAGAGCAGCTTGGATAAGGCGGCACCTGGGTCCTCCTCCCCACTCGCACCTTTCTGTTCCTCCCTAACAGCGGGCTTGTGACCATCTCACACACCCCTTGAAGATGAGAATCTCTAAATTTGTAATTCCCACGCTGACTAGAAGAACTAAGCAGGAAAGCAGCTTTCCACTATCTTTGCCTGAAAGTCAGTGCTGGAGCTTGTGCTTCAGCGCTACTGAGCTGCTCTCCCGACGCTAAAAACTCTGTGCAGGTTCCTACAGTGTAAAGTACATCACTCGTGAAATAAATTGTCCCCCAATGTTCTATTAAGTGGGTAGAAAGCACGGTGGAAGGGGTGTATAGCGTCTTCCTTTGAGCTTGTATTACAGGTATGAGCTAATCGATAAAATCCACCTTGTCCTAACGTCTTTAGCTTCCCTGGCCTTTGCTCAAGACAGCAGCAACCCAGGGTGCTGCCTGAGCAGCCTCAGAGGGGTCAACTCTGGCTGCTGTGGTTGTACCTATTTGGAATAAATTTAAATCTGTATTTGATGCTTCAGTCCTGTTTTCACACGATTCTTGATAGCAAGTTGAAGCGGAGAGGGGAGGCATGTTTCTTGCTACAGCTAAACACGACTGGAGACGGGGCAGCTAAACACGACTGGAGACAGGGCTACCGCACATCTTGCAGTCTTCTTTTGGATGGCTACAATGCAGTTGATTAAGCTTTGGGCCCCTCACTACAAGAAGGACATAGAGTTGCTGAGCACAAGTCATACAAGGAGCGGCTGAGGGAACTGGGGTTGTTTAGCCTGGAGAAGAGGAGGCTGAGGGGAGACCTTATCGCCCTCTACCACTGCCTGACAGGAGGCTGTAGCGAGGTGGGTGTTGGTCTCTTCTCCCTGGTAACGGGCGATAGGACGAGGGAAATGGCCTCAAGTTGTGCCAGGGGAGGTTTAAATTGGATATTAAGAAAAATTTCTTCACTGAAAGGGTTGTCAGGGACTGGAATGGGCTACCCAGGGAAGTGGACGAGTCCTCATCCCTGGAGGTATGGGATGGATGAGGTGCTTAGTGACCTGGTTTAGTAGTGGACAGGTATGGCTGGACTCAATGTTCTTAAAGGTCTTTTCCAACCAAACGATTCTATGATTCTATGATCAGCTGACATACAAATAAGACAGACATAACTTAGCTATGCGTGCAGACCATACCCCGCTTATTCCCCTTTCCAGTTTGATTTGCAAGACACCTGCAGCAAAGGTTTCAGAAAAGGATTGTCTCACTGCCACTTCTTAGACCACCATAGTGCAGGAAACCTGGCAGCCCACCCAGGCGGAGTGGTTCTTCCCAGGATATCCTTGTGCTGAGAGCCTCAGCATGGTGAGTTTTTCCACCAGGTCAGCGAGCTCATCCAGCTTGTGCATGGCTGCACGCATGCTCTTGCTGACATGAAGGATGGGGTAGGTGGAGGAATGATTGTCCCGGTGCCCTGGCTGAAGTCCATTGCGGAGTCTCAGGAGCGTCTGCACAGGTCTTTTGGGGAACATTCAATGGGTCCAGTCCAAAAGCTGAGGCACTGGGAAAATGTAAATGCCCAGCTGGTTAAGGGATGCCATCGTCACCTGAACTGCAGTTAGGTACTAGAATGGCAGAGAGATGCTTAAGTCCTTTTGAGGATCAGGGTCTCTGTGCATAATGTAATTATCTGAATGTCTGAAGTACAGTTTCTTTGCTCCTCTTTTAATAAAAGAGGAAATTTAAATGCAAAACTTCTGTTAAGGCACATTAAGCTTTAAGGCTTGAATGCAGCAGGCGGCTCGTTCAGGCTATACCTTCCACAGCTTTTCTCACTTAGCCAGATGACACACGCATGCTGTGTTTTAGAACTGAGCTCTGCCCTCATTTACACCAGGAACCCTCATTAAATTCAGCTGAATTCATTGAATTTAACAGGATTGCCTGCTGTAATTAATGTTTTGAGCACAAATTTTGTCCTTAGCTTTAATGCTTTAATGCCATATACAGCATTCAGATATGTAACTGGCTGAATATAGGAAATTCAAACACTTAACTTGTATATATGTTAAATCCAAACCATAAAGCGACATTGATACCCTTTCTTGCATTTTATAAACAGTTAACAAGTTGCACACATCCAACAGTGATAATATGCCTTTGCATTTAAATTTTAATTATTCTGCAAGTCTACCAGGATGTCACTTGTTTAATGGCTCACTGCGCTTAGAGGTCACCCGGTCCAAGTCTCCTCTACTGGCATTTTTATCTGAGTAAAAGCTTCTACTAATAAGAACACAGCAAACATACTGAAGTGAGACCTGTGTAGTAATACATATGAATTAGAATTTAGAGAAACTTGGAGAACAGGGGATTATGTTTTGAGAGTGGGTTTTTTTTAATGGTTATTTGACTCTGACTGGGATCATAAATTTTTATTCTCTGCCGATCAGAACACGGGCTGTCATTTATGTGTGTGGTGAGTACAAAGCACTGCTGAATCAAAAAAGGAAGCACTTTAAAGGTTGTAGAGAGGCAAGTGACTGCAGCGTGCTGGATGATGGTGGATCAGGCTACTTTCACTTAGGATTGGAAGAGACAAATCAAGTTTCTTGAAAGTGCTGGCTATACTAGAACAAGATAATGTGACACCTGACCTTCAGCTAAATGCATGGGATCCCTGTTATAGCACAGTAATTTATGTATCATTGTAAAATTTTTTAACTGGAATAACAGAATCATAGAATGGTTTGGATGGCAAGGGACCTTAAAGACCATCTAGTTCCAACCCCCCTGCCATGGGCTTGGACACCTTCAGACAACTAGATCAGGTTGCTCAAAGCCCCATCCAACCTGACCTTGGATGCTTCCAGGGATGGGGTGACCACAACTTCTCTGGGCAACCCGTTCCAGTGCCTCACCACCCGCATCATAAAAAATTTCTTCCTTATGTCCAGTCTAAACCTCCCCTCTTTCAATTTAAAACCGTTGCCCCTTGCCCTATCACTACATATCCTGGTAAATTGCTCAGCACCCTCAAAGTCTTTGAGAACAATGGTGGTTACGTACCAGGATCTCTATCTCCTAAGAAACCCCATGCCTGAGAAAAGTGACCTAGGCTGAAGAAAACATGCCACTCAAGTTACTCATAATGAGTACAGTGAGTAACAGACCAGATCAGATTAATAGTTGTGACAAACTGAAAACTGCCCTGATTTCAACTCGGTTATGACAACATAAACTGAGGATTTGTCCCATTACTGCTAAACCTTGTCTAAAATCATATCAATATTTAAAACAAATGTAAAACCTCATTGAGAGTGATGCAAAAGTAACTACTCTTATTTCACTGTATTTTAATACTCACTAAAGATACGTAAACAGTGTTTAACCCTAACCAAAGCAGGTGGCGCTGAATCCTTTCTGAATTTAGTAGTGGTGCCTTAGGACAAGTCTATCCAGGTGCTGCACCAGTTTAATTCAGAGCCAGCTGTGGAACCTAGAGGCCAAGCCAGAAACAGAAATACCAACTGATTTAATTTTCTTCATTTGATTGGTACACACTGGCCACTGTGTCAGTGTACGAGTACCACCTCTGAACCATACATCCTGTGAAAATGGAATAAATTCTATCTCTGTATGAGAAAAGCTGTGGACTTACATCTTTTGAGGTAACTGGTGACTTTTAGGCATCCTCATTTGTTTTTGCATGTCCAGCTTGCAGCAGTTTTCAAACAACCTGAGTTTTGAAGACAACTGTTTGGCCCCTGTATAGTATCTGCAGTTGGATAAGCATAAAATTGAGTCATTAGTTACTTAAAAATAGAGGTGGGGATGTTTAAAGATGGTGAGAAATAATTGATGGGTGTGGTATAAAAAAATATAACAAATACAGAATTGTCCCATGGTAGTGATTTATGACGAGAAGCTATTCTAATGGCTAAACAGGAAATGTCACCCCCCCCCCCAAAAAAAAGCTGTCTATATTGTATTAATGTACAAGGAATGGGAGTACCTGCATTGAATCTTTACACTACAGATGAAGGGAGAAATGTGGGCAGAGATGTGACATACATTGATATTGCAGTGGTACTGTGATTCCAAAAATCCATGTTCCAAGGGATGCCAGAATCCATGGGTGCTGATGCTGCTGTGTCAGTGGCAACTGCTTCACGTCCTGCCCTGCATCACCCCTTTGCTTCCGCTCCGCGTGGCCTTGCCCTTCGATACCTCTACCTCAGTCTCTCCATCCTTTTCCCCAGGAAATGCTTTCTGCACGGTGTTTTCACTCAGTAATGGGAAAGGAGAGGAACTGAGCCTGAAACGGGTCGTGTTTCCGCTGCGCCTAGCCGGCAGCGCTCCTTTCTCCACCCGGCAGGACGTCGGAGTGGAGCAGTTATGCCTTGTCCACACCGAGGGGAACCCACAGGCTCTGGAGTAGGCACGAGGAAGACAGCTGTAGTACAGTAAGAGCTGAAAAAAATACACGTCCACAAGTTAAGTGGTTCCTAGAGCAACCTTTTGGCATGTACTGCTGACATCCAAGTAGAGATGCTGGCCAGAGTGGGAGAGAAGAAAAAAGTATTGGAGCAAGTGTTAGTTTGGGAATAGAGAAATCCTCCACTTGCCACCCGCAGCCTTCCAGAATCCAAACGTTTTAATCGGAAAGATTTAATGGTATGACAAAACCAAGGAAGTATAGGGAGACTGTTTAGTATCACTCAGATGACACGGTCCCTTATACTGTGATGGGTTGACCCTGGTGCCAGGTGCCCACCAAAGCCGCTCTATCACTCCCCTCCTCAACAGGACAGGGGAGAGAAAAATGTATCCAAAGGCTCATGGGTCGAGATAAGGACAGGGAGAGATCATCTTGCCAATTACTGTCATGGGCAAAACAGACTCAGCTTGATCAAATTAGTTTAATTTATTACCAATCAGATCAGAGTAGGAGAGGATAAAAAAACCCCTGAGTCTTAAAACACCTTCCCCCCACCCCTCGCTTTTTCCCGGGCTCAACTTCACTCCCAACTTTCTCTTCCTCCTCCCCCCGAGCAGCACTGGGGGACGGGGAATGGGGGTTGGGGTCAGTTCATCACACGCTGTCTCTGCCGCTCCTTCTTCCTCAGGGGGGGGACTCCTCACATGCTGCCCCTGCTCCAGCATGGGGTCCCTCCGACAGCAGACAGTCCTCAACAAACTGCTCCAGCATCAGTCCTTCCCATGGGCTGTGCAGTTCTTCAGAAACTGCTCCAGCACGGCTCCATCCTTTCCACGGGGTGCAGTCCCTCAGGAGCAGACTGCTCCAGCGCAGGCCTCCCACAGGGTCACAGCCTCCTTCAGGCACATCGGCCTGCTCCGATGTGGGGTCCTCCCTGGGCTGCAGGGGGACAGCCTGCCCCACCATGGGCTGCACCAGGGGCTGCAGGGGAATCTCTGCCCCAGCCCCTGGAGCCCCTCCTGCCCCTCCTTCTGCACTGACCTTGGTGTCTGCAGGGCTGCTCCTCTCACATCCTCTCACTTCTCTCTCTGGTTACTGTTCTGCAGCAGGGTTTTTCCTTCTTAAATACATTATCCCAGAGGTGCTACCACCATCACCGATTGGCTTGGCCTTGGCCAGCGGCCGACACAGGGAAAGCTTCTGGCAGCTTCTCACAGAAGCCACCCCTGTAGCCCCCCCGCTACCAAACCCTTGCCACGCAAACCCAATCCACATACTGTGAGGAATTCATACTGGGGGGGGGGCTGCATGTCTCCCTCATGCGCCATCTGGCCATGGGCCCAGGCAACCTGCTTCAGGTGGCCCTGCCTGCCGGGGGTTGGACCGGATGACCCCCAGCGGTCCCTTCCAACCCCAGGCATGCTGTCATTCTGTGCGGCGGTCATACAGAGGTGTAATACTCAACAGTTTGATGGGGACAAAATGAGACACACACAGGAGAAGCAAGTGAAGAGAAGTGCGTTCCGAATTTCATTTCTGTGAAACACATACTGATATTCTGTCAATAACTCAGCTGATGAAATCAGCTCATGTGATTTGCTCACTAATTACTGAAAAACTATAATGATCACCAAGACAATATAAGGTCAAATTCAGTTTTTCTTATGAAAAGAATCTGGAATCTGAGTAATTGACTGTGTGTGTGTATATATATAGAGAAAGTACACCGTAATAAAGAATAACTAAACAGTAATAGACATGTAGGGATGAAGCTGGCTCTAAGTCAGCACAAAGTCTTCACAATTATAGGACTGTTAGAGACAACAGATTCTGTAGTAATGCCACTGAATATTCGTAATTGAATAGATTTTATTTCACATTTACACATTAGCAAGAGTATATACACTTTAAAAAAATCAGCCTTGCTGGAAAAGATTACTTGGAAATGATCTATCCTAACTTGAGACACTGAGTATTAAAGCTATCGCCCTCTTTGACAGCTACAGCCTCTAGAAGGGCTTGCTTCTTCTGCATACTGCGAGATGACTCCAGTTCGTACATAGTTGTCAAGTTGAAGAGAACCATTCCTTCCAACTGCCGGAGGGAATCCTTCAGTTTTCCCAGATAAAGAAGACAAACAGCAGCATTGTTATTAGCCTAGAGAAAAAGATATTGTAAATAAATAAGTGTGTGTGTATATATATATGCATGCATGTATTTACAAGTGATGAGCAAGAAGGAAGAAGAGAAGTCTAGCATCTGGGGCTACAACAGATTTACTGTGTGCTAAGAATTACGAGACAGAGAGGGAGAGAGCGAGCGTGCAAGTAACTAAAATACATTATCAATCACACAATCCAATCCTTTTCTTCTTGTTATTCTCAAGATTTATCCCGTGCCAGTAAGACCTGCTGAATTCTAAGAGCCGAAACTCTTAAAGACAGAGTTCTAAACTGAAATATAAATAGTATAGGACATTAGTCGGTTAAGTTTGAGAGTCAACTGAAACAGATTTCAGAAACTACATGCGCCTCTGCATGCTGTCATTTTCATAGCATTTTTTTTAATGACTTCACTGTATCTCCAGAAGCGTTTTTCTCTCTGGCTTACACACAGAAGATCCACATAAGGAACAGGAAGGAATTGTCACAAAGGCATCTACAACTGACTTCAAGCACACTCAGCAGATAGGGCAGTCTAACTGCATCATAAATGATCGAGTCAGGTTCCTTTTGCTTTTCCAGACAAAACAAGTTTTATGAGTTACCAAAAGATTCCACCAGTACAAAGCCATATAACATGTTTAGCAGCGGAAACTTTGACGCTTTCTGAAAGCTGAAGACAAAGGAAGAACACAAACTTTTTAAAAAAAATTCTTTTTCTCTCCCTTCAGGAAGACTTACTGATCTCGTGCGATACATAATACACCGTATTTTACAGCCTTCAAAAGGATGCAATTCATGTGCTGCTTAAACTCAGCCCCCTCAGTCTTTAAATGGCCTTGGATCAGGCTGCTGGGGGTGAGCCGCCTCAGTTCTTAGGAACACTCTTATATGACCATGCACTGAAAGCTGCCAACCACACAAACCCCAGAAGTAAATAACCAGCTCTGTTCTGACCTTCTCCTGTGCTGGGAATCCAAGGCTCTGATATGCAACGTGTTAAAAATGTCATGTTTAAAATGACAATATGCCTTCGATGTTGTGTGAAATCAAGTTAATCTTACACACGCTGGCAGCTGCCATTTCTTTTTCTGACACGTGTGTCTACACTAAGAACAGTGAATGCAAAAAAGAAGTGCTTTTGCGAAGATCCTGTAAAACATAATGTTTTGGAATGTCTACATGCATGCCTAAGTATCCACGCCCTTCATATAGACTTGTTCTTCATCTCCCATCCCGTTTTGTTTCTTACCCTTATGTATACTAAAACCGCCTTGGCACACATGCCACATCCAATTCTTGTATAAAGCTCTGAGCATACTCTGGGTACTAATTAAATCCACGCATGAGGCATTACGAGAATAATTTAGGTGTTCATTATAAATGTAGCAATTTGGAGATTTACCACAGCATTCGATGAGTCGATCCTTAAAATTTCTGTGAAAAATCGATGAGCTTCTGCAAAATTATTCTGACCAAGGTGGAGAAATGCTCTAGAAAGTAAGTGACATATGAATGAGTTCTCCTCAAAAACCCAAGGTGATAATATATTTTAAAAAGAATGGACACCATTTTTTATTTTTCCTATTATAGATGTGAGAGTTTCTGACATTTGCTCTTCACGGTGTAATTACAACCAGCAAGGAGACACTGATTTACAGACAAATGGAATGACAACTTGGATCATTTGGCTATTACATATTCTGCCTACCAAAGCAACAGTCTTCATTGTGCTTTTATTAATTTAAATGCAGATACTCTCTTCCTGGAATTACTTCCCTTCATGAAATTAGCCATGCTATATAATTTTCAGAGCACTTCTGAATAGTATTTTCTAAATATATTAAGGCAATGTGCTAACCATTACAAACTGAGCCCCCCATCACGCAGCTCGATTTACTACAATGTATTCCAGCATTCTTTGAAACTACCAGGCGGTAACTTTACTAGCACACCTGATTGTAGGATAAGGGCCCAAAACAGCTTCTTCTCTCCTAAAGAGTTATTTATGCAAATGTATATTGAAAAAGCAGAGTGAAAATACGCAACGCCTGGAAGAATGAGAAAAAGCTTTGTAAAATCAACTGAAGGATCACAATTTCAATCCAGGATAATATGACTGTACCGAGTAATACAGATCTCCTGGGTCTATATGCCATTCAGTCTCACTTATGACAGATGTAGTTACATAAAGAGAATGGGACTGTCTCAAGGGTAGTTTAATGCTCACAATGCATACTTTGCAAAACTATATTTTAAAGTTTCATTTAGCTATTAAATTACCTACCTGTTCATTAAAACCATAATTTGGCTCTGTAGTCCATCCAATTTGTGAGTCACTTTCTCAACGTCTTGAAAGTATTTTTCTGCAGTTTTTATGTCTCCAATCTAGACAGTAAAATCGTAAGAAAGTTACCACAAGAAGAAGAATAGAGATCCAGCCTGATTATATCTTTTACAAAGAATAAGAACATGAAAACGTATCAAAGTCCATTATCTAATTGATGGTACCAAGCTGAGTGGGTAACGCCTGTTTTCAAACAAGGTATTTGAAGAGCCACGTTAAGATCATGAAAAGAACCCCCAAGGCATGAGCAGTTTTATCTAAAGCAGGGTTTCTCAGCTGTGCGTTGTGGAGCATTCAGGGACTGTATGGCAGGGGTGGCCCACCTCCTCATCTGGCTCTTTTTTTGTAACCAACTCCAGAGTTTGTAAAATTGGCTGAAAATGAGAAAAGGTCAGAATTACTTCCAGTGAGCCTGGGTGTTACTCTGCAGGAAGTGAAGACAGACACTGCCCACAGGCAGAAGCTGTCAATAGGCAGGAGAACTGAAATACAATAACCTGGCAGGTAGCGTAGGGCCTGTCCGTGGTCAACCCAGAGCTTATGGGCCATAGCCATGGACCACAGGATGACTTCAGTGCATCAAACCGAAACGTGTCAGAAAACAACCCCAATGCATCGGGTCACTGAGGTGACTGGGGAGACAGTCCATTTGCAGACTGAAGAACAGTGGGAGTGGATTGTGCAGGCTGAAGAAAGGAGGGATTTCAAAGCTGGCATAAAGAGGCACAGATTTTAGGAGGGGAGGGGATGGGGATTCCTAGGAAGGAAGGGATATTTCACCTAAGGGTAGGTCACATGCATTGCTATCTGAAATGGAAAAAAAGAAAATTCTTTGAAGAAGGCTAACATTTGGTAATGTTAGCAATGCATGTTTCAGAAGCATACACTCATACTTTTGGTAAGGTTTCACAATACAGTGTCTAATTTTGGGCTGGAGGGATGGAAGGAGAAGAAAACTTACTATTGGGTAAAATAAATCTATCAAAGGGAGGGAAAACAAACTAGTTCAGGAGCAGAAAGCCATGGAAACCAGGAAGCCCTCAGGTGGGGTGCTGCAGGGGGCCCTCAAAAGGTCACCTTTTTGTTCAAGAACAGGACCAACGTTACCAAAAATGTTTCTGATGAATGTGTTGAAATCTCCTTAAAGCTGACAGATGCTGAATATTACACAGCCTCCCTAGGAAACTTATTCCTGAATTCTTACATACCCTTAGTATTACAAAATATACTCTAAGTCTACCTTGCTGAACTTTTTACCCCAACTCTTTGTCCCAGGGAGAACAGTACAACTCCTCTTCTTTAACAGCCTTTTACATACTTGAAAATTTTTATTGCACTTCTTCTAGAATGAGAATAGATTTTCAAGCAAATCGGTGTTCACCCCTTTCTCACAGGTAATGCTTTCTGGATTCTCTGATCATTCTTGCTGTTCTTCTCTGAACCGTCTCCTGTTCCTTAACATCCTCCCCGAGTGCCCGCTGATCACCAACTGGTCTCTAACCACCAGTGAGAACGGAAGAATTACTTTATGTTTCACATGTGAAAACGAAGTTTTCTTTTATGCCACAGTATTTTGGAAGTCCGATTTGTTTACCCATGTGTAGTTTACTTACTCTTAGCCTAACTCCTTTCTACAGAACAGTATCTCGTTAGTTGTTTCCCATTTTGTATTTCTGTATTACTCCCAGTCTTTGGTAGTATTTTGCCTTCGCTGTTTGAATCACGGCCAATTTAACATTTCAGTTTCTCAACTTGTCAACATTATTTTGCATTCTGATCCTGCCCTTCATAGCGTCTGTACCACTCCCAGCTTGGTACATTTTAGAAGCATGTTTCTGATTTCATTGTGCAAGCACCTAACCGAAAAATAAAACTGCTGCAAACCCTAAAACGGGATCCTTGTGGAAAAGATCATCCAGCAAGTCCTTCTAGGCTTCCAGTGAATGAATTTCCCAGTACACTTTTCAGACACAGCAAACAACCATTTTAAGGTTTCATCTAGATTTCTTCCCAAATTGCTTATGGGAGTATTGTAGTGTCAGTATCCAAAGCCCTACCAACATCAATGGTATAACTGGTACTGCTTTACCTCTCACCACAAGACCTCTCCCTTGACAACATAATGAAATTATTCTTCTTTACATTTAGGGGATGATCCAATTGCAGTCAAAGATGCAATTGCCCATCTACCAAATCATTTATGGAATACCCATTAATACTCTACCTAATTAAACAGAGGCATTTCTCCCAGACGTTATATACCTGGACTCAAGCAAAACAAACATAATTCATTCTAAAAACTTACACATTCAGTTACAATGACAAAAGATAAATTTTCTTTCCCAAAATAAAGGTGTAACCACTAAGAAAATTACTTTTAACTAAAGGATAATGCTGGCACAAGTGTAAATGAATCTGTCCTTGAATATTTTTAGCCTGGAAATTAGAAGGAAGCCCCTAACCATGAGAATAATCCATTTCTAAAGCAAACTACCAGTTTGCTCCACTGGGAGCTTGATGAATCCAAATCTAATATGCTTTGAGACTAATCACACCTTATTTGTGATCATGAAGAGTTCTCATTTCTTAGCAGCATCTTGTATCTTCTCAGCAAACATACCAAACTTTTAATTCTCATTTTCCCCACTGAGGGGAAACAGTTTACTTTTTTTTTGGCAGAACATTTAAAAGAAAGAATTAGTTTTAATTAGTCATTAAAATGTTAAATATTTAAAGTGGCCTCCATCACTTAATTTAGCTTAGTTCAGAAAACATGACTTCAGTATCTAATAATAATTAGCACTTTGAATAAAAATGAAAATGCCTCTGTTAACATCAAATAATCACATCTTCTAACAAGGAGCCTCCAATATTGTTTGTCTGGAAACCAAGATTATTTTTCTTAAGTACTCCCAGGATTTATTTATTGCTTTTAACTCTGTTTAGCAGCAATCTATTGCAGAGGGTAAGGTCAGGCAGCTTTCCACTTTCTAAATTCTTTAATGTAGGTATTTAAATGGCAATTTTGTATAGGTCAGCCAGCAAGCAGAGTCTATTAGCAACACACAATAATATCCTAGAGAATAAAATGTATTCACTGTTTCCCCATTTCATGTGATTTTCTATTTTACAGGTGAGGTGACTGCTGACAGAATTACAGTGCTTCTGCAAATTTCTCTGCGATAGCCTCTGTCTTCTGCATTCTCCATTTCTCTCATCCTTATTTCCCACTGATGTTAAGGCAGCAGCTAAAGGCCATACATCAGATCTAGGCCTCTTTATGCCCCGCTACATGTGAACATAAAGAAGACATTAGTAAGCTCAATTTAATCAATAAAAAAAAAAATCACACACAAAGTAAGGTTTTGTATGTTGAAAATAGTTACCTTTTTCTATTTAACTCCTGAACTTACACTTCATTCTACATTATTGCTTTGTTTCATATGTGTGGTATCTATTGTCAGACAGTATCTGTGACTGATAAGCAGCTGAAATCTGGCTCCCTTGGGCCTCTCTTGGATAATGTTCAAAGTTAAGAGAACAGTCTGAGGTTATTTGGGAATCACTACCTGGTTTTGAGAAGCTGTGACATTTGAATACGAAAAAATTGCTTTCCCATTTTACCTGCAAGAGGTTTAGTTTTTTCACAGAGTGCCTCATCAACAGTGCACAGTGGTCTTACCAAAAAGATGGTGACCAGACCTGCAACACATTTCTCTTTCTCTGATTTGAACTTACTGGTTTTGTTTACCTGCACACTGAGTATTTCTCTTAATACATCAAAATCTTGCATCTATTGCAACAATACCCTCCAGACAGAGCTCAAGATTTTGTCACAAAAAAATCAGGCAACATACCAAACAATACAAATTTATCTCTGTAAGATGCTAAAAGGAAGGAAAACATTTGAATTTAGAAGTGATGCTTTTTATTAACTACTGTCTAGGATCACATGATAATATCAAGGGCTCCTCATACTCCCTTTTGCTATGTCCAGTTCTGACAGCAAAACCATTAACTACTAAACGCCTGTTGTCACAGCCAACATCGCGGATGTCAATGACTTCAAATGACTCTGCACGGAGCCTGCAAACACCACTTTTGAAACTGGGTGAACATAATTCTTTCCAAAGTTAGGAGATGCTTTCCTCCTGAGAGGGAAAATTTTTCTATAGCAAACCGAGCTACTAACAGACAGGGGAGCGTGACACCAGGGCAGACACTCTTGTCAGCAAGGCAGTACCAGTAACGTACCTGGTCGTTTTCCCAGTAAGAACACAACTATTAATAACTTGTATTTCCAATAGTACTATGCATATTTGCAGTACCATTCTTTAATATGCATAATTACTAGGTTACCTATTCAGGTAATAATTAAAGCTCACAGCCAATATCATAAAATTGCTTGATAGTGATGGAGATCCACTTCAAATCAGAGACTTTTAAAGACAAACATGTCTACCACACTGTGAAAACATGTTACTGCTGAGAACCGAAAATGTGTAACTGAGTTTGAATGACATTCTATGATTTCAAGCAACAAATATTAATGATGTAATTATCTATCAAGAATAAATTGTTCCATTTCAATATAATTTTACAACATGAATGCCACAAACAAGATTGTTCGTAAATACTCAACAACTCAAAACTAGATTTATAAGAAGTAATAAAAGGAAGTAGATAAAAAAGGAAAAGTTTGAAATAATAGTATCAGAAATATGAAAGAACTGCAAAGAACCTGTGAGATACTGAAATTTAAAACAGTCAGGTACTAATTATTTAGATGCATCATTTTCTGATAAACAAAAAAGTACTACTGTACTTACATCTTTTTTTACTTATTATGGTAAGTACATAGCTACAATGAAATTTATTATACTTGTGCAGCCCTGTTTTTCCTTTTAATGTTCCCTGTCTTCTCAGGGGTATAACCTGGACAAAGGAAGGAAACTCTCAAATTTTTTCAAGATGAAGATGGCAGTTATACAGTGACCGAGAGCTGCATGTACTTTGAGGCAGCGAGAAATGAGATTTTTTGTGAAATTCTGGCTCACTGAGATCAATGGGAGCTTTATCATTAGTTTTAGGGAAAGCAAAATGTTGCTCTTTGATTATATTATTAGCATAATTTTCTACAGCATGTTCTCTGTTCACTAATGTACTTGAATGTACTTTTAATATTGTAAGTACTTTATATTTCCTAACTTTATCTAATAACACATGGTAGGTTTTTTTTTTTGTTTTGACCACTGCCTCTACAATTTGATACATGCCCTGTAAAAACAGCTAGTTTTAAATGCAACAATTCTACACTACATAGCTGTCAACAGCAATATTACCTAGCAGATTTAGAATAAAAAACATACCTGAAGGAAAATCCTTCCAATTCCACTCAACAGCTGAGGCTCTTGCTGTGGGTAATATTTGATGACGGTGTGATAAGCATCTACAGCAAGCACGTAGTCCTAAGGGGTGAAAAACACACGACCAGATATTTAAGCTCAGAATTCCTCAGCCTTTATGTCACCTTCTTTTTAAAGACATATTCAAACAGAGTTAAAGTAGTTGCAACTTGTCAGCGGGACAGAATTTCTACCTATCACTGTAGGCACTAGTAGCTGACTATATTGGCCTTTTCTCAGTTATACTGGAACTGCAGGGGATCTTCCTTTTTTTTTTTTTTCTTCCCCCCAACTGGATCATATTCTGTTTGCAGCTAAATGCCAAAACCAAAAAATCTGAACATTTACTCTTCAGCTTAGATTACGATTTAGGATGAAAGCCAAAAGCCTTCTGTGTGACTGGGGTATACATGCTTGAGAAGTGTCTCACGTTTCAAATATATGTATAATTTACATGGTTTAACAAACTATGTTCTGAAGCTTTGGGAACTGCTTGTTCACATGCTCTTAACTTGTGAAAAATAATAATGTGTCAGAAGCTGCAACTCATGCACATTTTCAGATGACAAACCAGCGCTGCTGCCAATGGAAACAAGACCTTTTCTGTCTCTCCACCCAGACCCTTGTTCCCTTCTAGGATACTGAGTAAAAGGAAAATGAACAGGTCATCTAAATAGAAAACTGATTTGGGCTAAAACTAAGTGAGGGGTGGGCTGGTTCTGAACTCCAGGAAGCTTTGCAAGACCCCCCCTCCCTGGCCATGACAGCAGATTCAACAAAATCACGGTCCCATTTCCCACAGGAAAGAAATGCCCACATGACTGCTGACTGCAGTCCAGCAGTTTCATGGTTAATCCGCAGTAATTCAATGATCTAGGCAGTAAATGCCTTCTAGAGCCTGGCTACATGGTCTTTGGCAGGCATACATGAGAGAATCTGCATGTGCTCTACGCGGACTGGAAGACACGTAGTAGGCACGTTCACGGGGCACAGGGCTGCACTGGCCTCGGCTACGGCTTCTTGGAGCAACCCAGAGCAGAGGCAGAGAAAGCCAGCATTTGCTTATAAAAGCCAGGCATGCGCAAAGACAGAAGACTCTGTGCTGTACTAATTTGGTGATTCCTGACAGTCCTGCCCTTCGACTTAATAGAAGAATTTGTGGTGGGTGTTAAGAAGCAAAAGGCATCAAAGAATAATCTTTCAAAACTCCACAGACATCTTGGGATACTCTCTACCCTACCATTTTTCTTGGTCAAATTATAGTACTCATTTAACTTGTCCCTAATGTGATCACAGCTCCTGGCAAAGGTACTTTTTCTTCATCTCCTGCTTAGTCTGAGGAGGCAATGTGCCCCAGATGTAATAGATTTCTTTTCCTGAGGTTGCACTTAAACCAACTGAACCCTACCTGACCCGTGCACCAGGTCACCGTTTGGAACATACTAATTGTTTCATACACACAAAAAAATCAAGAGAAGTCTTTGGAATCTGATGTGTAGATAAGAGAAATTACATGTCCTATAATAGCAGAGGCTACTTAAACAGCCCAGGACCTGCTCTGCAGGACTTTTCTTTTGCAAACAACTTGCATATTGTGGGTATAACGATTAATTCTGAACAGTTAATTACTAACATTTAGCGTTTATTCTAATTCTAGTGTGCCATGCCATGTTCATGCTTATTATTGGTAATGGAAAGAGTTCAGAGCAACGACAACAGGCCATGTAAACACAAATGTATTTATTTAAACTCTGATTTATTTAGCTCTCAGAACTCAGATGTGATGAAATTTATGCTACCAAAATTTTCATAAATTTATGAATTAGGAAAAACTCAATTTTCACTGTAACAGCTCTCACTTGACTGATCATGGAGTCCCACTGTTTTAGGTAGGCCTAAACCTCTGAACTGGCTCCTTAGAGGAACCCCAGCCATGCTTATATTAGCTATTAATACCTGCAAGAGCATCATTTATAAAATCTGAAAGATTGTCTATGACTGTGAATTTTATCCCTTTTAGCACCAAATTTGCTCGCTGGAGAAATAATTTTGTGATATAAAATTCTAGCTTTTGTGCTCGATGTCTTCCATTCTGTGGTCTAAAGCTGCCCCTTACCCAGCACTCGGCCTCATGCATGCTCTAAGGCTCCAAAACCAAGCTGTGTAGCACAACCACGAGGGATGGGGGCTTTACAGTCACATCCCCAAACTGATGTAAAAACAACTCCCAGGAGATCATGCACTTAAGCTGATAGAAAAGTGCCTCTGTCAGCTTAGTTTACAGCTTAGCACGATTTGACTGCAAAAAAGTCTTGGCCAGAAGAAGCTGCACGAGGGGGCACTGTTTGCACAGTTATACCACCACAGGCTCCCTAGCGTAGACAGTAGCCAGCCTTGGTAGGAACAAGCTGCCAAGTAATGTCTTGGAGGTCCACGCTGTGTGGGCTTCATGGACTTGGCCTAGTCAGGCGAGCAAACCCTCCCCCCTTTTTGCATTCCCTGTCAAGTGACTGTACCTCACCATATGTGTTATAACTAGGAGTACGTAAACATTCACACCTCCTAAAATGTGAGAGTAGAGGTAAAGCATTAAGAGTCTGTGCACTCTATTTGTGGATATGGCACTCTGTTTCCATACAACGGCACAGCACATTGCATCTGTGCTTATCTCCCCCATGCCTTGCAGTACCTGTCACAGGAATGGGACCCATTTCTTCCAGGAGATTACAAGAGACTACGTTATATATATATGTCCAAAGCCACCCCTAAGCATAGGCAAGGATGGCCCCAGGAAGAAACTGTAAAACATTATCACAATGTCAAAGCTTGCTGCTAAATACAACCTCATTTTGTAGTTACTCCAGGATCCCACAGTGAGTTTTATATGCATTTGCTCTTCCCCCTACACTATCATGGAAGCAGTAGTAAATTTCTAGAGTACCCTGCATGTGATACAGAATGATAACTACTCTGTGGTAAGCTATAAAAGCATCTTATCTGACTTCCTTCTGAAGGACCATATTGTAAAGTAGATGAGATTTGGTCTCATTTACTAAAGACTCTGTTTTCATTCCCAGTTTTACTAATGTGACATGGTACAAGAAAAATTGTTCCAGATAATGACAGACACCCTCCCAGAGGAGCGAAGTCTTGGTTGGTACAAGTTATGAGGAGTAAGATATATTAGGTACTGCCAGTAAAAAAACAAAAAAACCCAACTACAGCTTGTGATCTTAAGACGTAAAGGTGGGGCCGATGTATTGTCATGGTCTTTAATTTCTAAAGATTACGAGCCTTCAGATTTTCCACACCTTCATAAAAAAAAAAAATCCCCAAAGAAGCACTGAAGTTACACAGTTCAGGATATGAATGAAAGTTGGCTTTTTTTTTTTTTTTTATAATTCTAAATCTCTTTTATTAAGAAAATTTGGAGATAACATTAAATATACTCATCCAAAATAGTTCTTGTAAGCCCCTGGATCTACTTGCACAAAAATGGCAAGGGGGTTTTGGTTTTCCTTTGATGCACTCAAGTCTAACTGTATTTCCCTTCACGGTCACTGCATTATACGTTTTCATGTTTTCCTTACCATCATGTGAAGTACTTAAAATAGTAATTATGAGATATTTAGAAATAATCATAAATGACCATGATGTGTAGAATGCTGAGAGTAGGTTCAATAAACCATCGACTAAAAATCAGCTTTAGTTATACTAAGTATATCGTTCATAAATACTGTATTTTGGGAAGAAAGGACAGGGATTACTTATCCTTCCTCTCTATCCAGTGCACTTGTGGAAGGGTTATGAAAGCAGAGATCCACAGTGTTATGAATCCAAAGAGCAGCACTGCAGCACAGTTTGGCAAAAGACACGATGATTCATGCAGTCTTTCTCCTTTAAATCATAGAGGAACCAAAGTCCTTAGGCATCAGTCCCTTGCGTCACCAGCACAAGCTGTTACCTCCTGCTTTGTACAGTTTTAATTGTATTAGACCTAAATTAAAATAAATTCTAATGCTTCTGTTTTTACGAAGGGCAAGTTCTAAAAAAGCTAAGACAACACTGAAAAAAATCTAAAAAGTGCAAAATGTGCCTTTAATTAGAGTGCATTTATAATACATATGGAAAGCACTTAAGTGTTTATTCCTCAGAGAGGTAAAAGTCTGATAAGATAATGTCAAAAGCGGTTTTAGCTCAGATAAAAAGAGCTTAAAAAGTTTTCAAGACACTTCCATGGTGATTTAGTAAAATGACAGATGTTTTGCAATTAGATTGTTGAAATGAAGCAATGCACATCATCAGTTGCATTTTAAAAGAATATTCCCCCATGCTGCTATATTCAGGGTACGCCTTCATAGTGACTTAAGTCCACAGTTCTTGTAAAGGGAAGTCTACAGTGACACGTTATGTGGTCTCCTCTTCCCTTCCCGCTGTATTTCCACGTCCTCCCTTAAGTTGCCCCCTGTTCACATAAAACGGGAAAAGACGATTCACTTGATACGACTGAAATCCACCATTTCTTTGTTTTTGTCACTCAGTTAAGTCCAATAGCGGTGCACAGAAGGAAGCTGGGATACATTTAAGAAAAGTTTGTACAAAAAAAGGGGGATGAACAGGAAAAGACCGTATAGTAAGACTGCCTTAAGCTGCTACCAAATTGGATTATCGGTCCCACAGACAAGCAGAATTCAGTACCTAGGAAAGATGATCCCAGGGTAAAGGAGATGTGTGATTAATTTCCTGTTCCACTATAGTTTCCTGCGCAAGTCTGGGTGAATCACTTCTTTGCACCTCACTGACTACAACCAAAACAATATACCCCTCCATCTCAATCATTTAATAAGATGTTTAGCTATGAAATTAATGAGGCCATATTTAAAAAGACAAAAATCATTGTGCTACATAAACAGAATTCCTTGAGTCAGATAAGTAATGTAGAAGAGATATGACATGAAATAAACCTAATTAGAATTGAGGATAACTGAAGTAGATTTAAATAGTTATAGGCCCAGCATCTAATCAAAGTATTTTTTTTTTATTTTCAAGAGTCAATCCTGACAAGATTGTTCTCTATTAAATACTACTGGCGTTTTTTGGCCAAAGAAAGAGGCTAGTAAAAATAAGATAATTGGTTTTTCTTTTTTTATATCAATGTCACAGTTTAATAAATGATTACTGTTAATCTACTAAGAGCACAAGCTATTCCATTCACCTAATAGCACTTGGGAATCAAATATGACCATATTGCAATATTGTAAATGTTCACTAGATGGCAATAGATGGCACTGACTTAAGACAATGAAATCAGTTTTGTTTTTTTTAAATTACATACGCTTGAAATACTTGAATAAAAACAATTGCAGTTTTTAAAGTGTATTACACAACAGCAACAAAAAAATTATAAATATGTGGAACTGTTCAATTATATTAATTGTTCATGGGTGAATTAACAAAAATGTTTAAAAATGTTTTGAAGAAACAGTTTCATACTGAATACTGTAGAAGGTGGATGATTATAGCATTACTGCATGTTAGAATGATCTTAAAATTATTAAACTTATAAAACCCCAATATAATTCTCTCACAGAGGGTCTGTCACATGGGCAGAAAAATTAACTTCATGTACTACTCTGGTTTTAACTGCAACGTGACGACGTTTGAAAAAATTTTCTTAAAACCTCGCCACTCCTCCATATAGGGATATTTCTGAAAACTGAAAGACTCACAACACCACTGTAGCCAATGCACTGAAATGCAAATTTCTGATGAAAGTAATTATGCATTAACATGCAGTTTTATGTAATCTGGAAGTTACTGTGGAACCATAAATTTGTAACTTAACAGCGGTGAGATAGGCCCTAAATAAAATTGGTCTTAAGAAGTATTTGAGCTGCAGTGTTTCTGAAGTACCATTTCAAAAAAAGTGATAATCGGTATTCACAAATATATTTCTATTACTAGAGGAAAGTAGCACGAACAGGACCAAATCAGAAGAAAGGTGAGAACTATGCATGCATGTGGATTTGCATGTATACAAGAAGAAAAACGCTGAAAGTGTTAAAAACTATTCACAGTCAAAAGTAAAGTGAACTTCTTGAAAAAAATGTATCACCAGCATTTTCTTATTTACATATCCTACTGTGTTTGGGATGGCAACTTGTGCTTTTCTCCACTTGCTTTCTGAAAAAGAAAGTTCCTTACAAACTGAACCCATGTCAAATACCTACTTCAAAACACAAATGCTTACTAATTTTTAAAAATAAGTCATGGTTTAATGGACAATTATTTATATTCAAGACAGAAATGTTCTGATTGCGATACCGTCATGAATACAAATTTCTATTTTCCCCAATTCTCATAAAAAGGATATTCCATTTCACGTAAAGTAGTATTTGGATAACTGGATCTTAACTAAAAAAATGTATGCTTTTTGAAGTAACGAAATACTAAGAATGGAGCCCCATTTGGGAAATAGCTTAGCAAACATCAGAGGGTCAGGTTTGGCATGACCTTGGGCAAAGAGCAGGGAGCAAGGAGTGCAAATCTTGGCCTCTGAAGATTATACTGCTGACAGCTCTGCTCCAAGGCTGTTGCTGCTAATTGATTTCTGAAGAACAGTTAGGCTCAGGACAACAGCAGTTCCTTGCAAGCTCAGAATGGCGACATCCCTATTTCCCTGACTATGAGGGGAATGTGAGAAGTTTTATTTCTACTTCTTGAACACAAGCAGAAGCTAAGAGTGTTGCACCAAATGGAGTAGTATTCCTTAAAAAAAGTAAGAGGGAAAACAAGGGAAAAAACCAGCAGTGGAAGACAGTTTTGCTTTTATTCCTTTCTCTTTCCTCCCCACCCACTAGTGAGGATTTAACTTGAAAGAAGGTATCTTACAGTTGAGGTAAGCTGACAAGGGAGGATGTATTTAGACATTCCGGATCTTCATCATATGCAAAGGCTACATTATTATTAATGCTCACAAACAGAGCAACATTCCTAGTGTGCAGTTTGAAAAAGACAGAGCACATAACTGCTTTTAATTACAGCATTTAGTTAAGTGTTTGAGAAATTCAATTTAAAAATGCAAATTCTGTATTGTTACTGCATATTCTCCAGGATGATTTGGGGAAAAATAAGTACAGATATGTTCTCAAAAGAACATTACTGCAAATGGTTATCTATTAAATAAGACATTATTAAGTCTAATTAATTCTTCACTAAGCAAAACCTTCATGTACAGTCAGGTAGTCTTCCTTTATCTCTGCACCAGTAATTCTCTTGCACTTTCTCTGACATTCTATTCTGGAATATACGGTACCTCTGCAGTTGCTGCCACCCACGTACCTTCATCATTAGCAGACAGTTTGCCATGGAGTACATCACCCGGCCCAGACGTGACCTCCACAGCTGAACAGAGGCTGCAAAATAAGAGCAGCTTGTGAATTTGCACAAATAAATTAGAGGTTCTTTCTTGCCATCAATTATTGGTCCTACGAATTACGATTTTGAAAGATCCCCCTCGTTAACACCACTGGGTTTTAGCCTAGAATTTTCAATTCTCAGCCATGCTGCACCATCAGACAGAAAATTCTGCATCTCTCCCAGGGAATCACTCAAGCGGCTCTGGGGACCATACACGATGCAACAACACAGAGCAAGACAGCAGCTCAGTTTTGAGCTCAGGCCAAATATTAAATGTTAAGAGAAGCCACGCGTTTTCCAATATCAGAACAAAAGGTGTATAAAAAGATTTAAGTGATAATGAGCATCAGTTTAAAAACATGTAATCTGCAGCGTTAAATGTGATAAACTAAAAAAAAAAACAAAAACTAAAAAAAAAATAAAAATCAAACATAGCTAAAATGTCATTTCAGAGCCAAAACATGCAGGGTGAGAACTGTCTGAGTCTGGGACTGTTCGTGCTTGCCTCTGGCTTAGAGATATGCTGGAAAAATCTGCCAAGCCTGTCTGCTTTCCCCATGCTCCTGGAGCTTGCAGGGATTAAAAGCTGCAGCAGCAGATTTCTCTCTCTTGCTTTGCAGACAGACTCCTGATGTTGTAAGAGAATGGTTCATATAGATCCTCATTTTCTCTTGTGTTACAGTACCATAGATCAATGCTAGAAATACTCTTCTAATCCTCCAAAATAAACATTAGGAGTATTAATTTAGTACATTGGGAAAATAAATGTATCTCAGCCAATCAGCTGTCAAGGTCACTGTAATGATTTGAGAAAGGGGGAGGAAAGGGAGAAGCGGTTATTTCAGTGAGATTGTGATAACTGAGACCACTTATTTGTATCAATAATGTAGTCTCTGATGAAAGCATGGCAGGTCACATAGATAATTCTTTCAGCACACATAAATGCCATTACAAATAAGAGAGCTTGGGGAAATGTCTACTCCCCTTCCTAAAAAGAAAAACTCCTTCAATCCTCTCCAACAACAAAACAAAAAAACCCACCCATGAATATTCCCCAATTATCTTTGTCAAGAAAGGGGCATAATGTGGGGCCCAAGACGGAACCCAGTATTTCATCCACCAATTCATTCATTACTCCTAGCTTTTGTTTTAGAAATTCCCCCTTGACCACACATCCCTACTGCTATTAATGGAGAGGATGATGTAAACAATGAGCAAATATTTTATGATACATTTATGATTTTCTTTCCTTGTGGGTGTCTGTAAAACCTGGACATAATTAAGTAACTCTCCTTTATTATTTCAGTTATGTTAATCTCTCCTTTTCACATGTCCTCATAGTTTGGTAGCCATGTTCAGCTTTTTAGTACTTAGGTGACAACAAATTAGATGTTGATTCCTGCAATAGAGATGCCTAGATTTCCTGCTAAAAATCCAATAGCACAAGCTACGGTTCTCAAAAAGGACTGGAAAGCAGACAGACCAGATGTCTTCAGTCTGTGGTATAAACTGAAGAGGAACCTGATCTGGAATTGTGTAGCTCTGTGGGATGAAGCTTCTTAGCACAGGCAGAAAGGGGTTAAAGAAAACCTGCAAAGCATTTGAAAGCCCAAGAGCCGATCACTGTATGTTACTGAAATGCCTGAAACCCACTCTGCAGGTCCATGCAGCCATGTTTCCACTCTAAGCATTTGTTTTTCCTTGTTAAGTATCAAGGACTCTGTACTCCACACTGCCATTCATTTCAATAGCAGGTCTCTGCACTGAGAAGTTGCAAAATTGGCATCTTATAGAATGCGTCACCAAGCAAGTGGTGCAATGCTGAACCTCTCTGCCTGCAGAAAAACTGGCAAATGAGGTGCTCCGTTCCAGACTAGAGGAGATGTACATGGTAAATTGATCGGTGTGGCACCTTCTTACACCAGCAATAAGGAAATTACATGCGAAGCATAATCCCCATAATGAATTAAGGCTGTCTTCACATAAAGTTAATAAGGTTTGCTTCAGCGAGTCTCACATGAAAAAAAAAAAAAAAAAAAAATTCAAACCCATTATCAGCCTCCTGGAGCTCCAAATGCAGCAAAGCAGCAGACAGGGAGCAGACCTGGCTGACCTCCACAGACAATAGCAGTCAACAGTCTCTGCAAAGGTCCCATGGGCTTTTTGGCAGCCTTAAACCCACAGGCAGCTGCACAGTAAGCATACAGAGATCTCTCCAAATTTTCAGCAGCCTTATCCCTTGGTAACTGCTAGCTGCTGCTCTTCTAACTACACCTCCTCCTGAGCTCATCTCAGCTCTACAGCAGCAGCAGAGAGGAAAAGCAAGGAGCCAGAAGCTCAGGAGTGAGGCAGACTGCAGGATAGAGCATTATGACACGGCTAGGAAAAAGTTATTCTATCTCAAAGGACAATCAGTGTCTTGGTTTCAAAGGGGTAAAAAGGAAAAGAATGGGGGGATAATAAAGACAAAAATGAGGGCAGAAAGGGGATAACAGAGAAAAGTAGGTAAGAGAACCGAGGCAAGAAGATACAAGGAGAGAAGAACAGAAACTCCTGGAGCACTGTGGATGAACCTTCAATATCAGATGATTTCTCTTGTTCCTAACCCTTTTGAGAAAAGCAGTAAATGTATTCACTTGACTCTATTTGCAAATGCCTTCATGACATAGGCTGCTCACACACTTGTTCGCTTTTTTAGAGCATATCTAGATGGTGTATTAAGTCAAGTACAATAACATATTAAAGCTGCTTTACATCCAGTCAATTTGAAGACCAGGCAGAAGAGTTCAGACAGGTCTGCACCCTTCCATATAGACACTGTTTTAGGGATTTGTTTATAATTTAACTCTGCTAACAACTCTACTCAGCTTCTTCCTATCTCAGAGGCAGAATTCTACTTCCCACAGGCTCTAGGTGAATGTTATCCTAGACAGAAGTTGGTAAGATTTCATTAGACTGTTAGCTGAAGCTGAAAGGTTTTTGCTTTCTTGGTATAATGTTGTTAATGTGCTAGGCACCATTGAGTGGTTCATATAATCCAGAACAATGCTTAAAATGCCACCTTTTGTCCAATTCTTTAGTGTATTCAAATGACCTCATTAGTATAAATTCTGTTAAAAAAAAAAAAAAGAAAAATGCTTGGACAACTGATTTGTCCTGATGACCCTTCTTTATGCAGTAATGTATCCTATGCTACTGAAGTTAAACAACTAAGATAAAAGGAACAGGAAAAACGTAATTGCATATGAAATAATGAAAATGATGATGTAGATTAATATAGTCTAAATCTTATTCTAAAAAGTGACTTAGGTATTTCAGGAGCCTAAGAACCATTTGGCTACAGTGAGACTCAGCCATCTATGTAACAGCATCCTAGGCCATTGTAGCCCTTCCACAGTGGCAATTTGATCTAAAGAAATTTAGTGGATTTCAGACATGAGGACTGAGAGGAGCCAGTCAGCCAAAGCTTAAAATGAAACATCCATCTAGCTGCAACAGCAATGCACTTATATATTCATCACTAAAGGATAGCAGCCATGTTCTTTGTTTCTTCTAAATAGGAAAAAAAAAAGTGATTCAGTGCATCAGTTTGATCAAGAGCAAAACTGTGAAATTAATTCCAGCAAATAAAAGTACAAGGTGTGTAATTTCAGAGGCTGAGTAGGCTATGAGATTACAAAAATACTGTTTTAACAGCTCTGGGGCAGTCTTGTGAAAACTTCTGGCATACTTAAGTAAGAGATAAAAACACACTGCCTGTGGAAAAATGTGTAAAGAATACCTACCTTGTCTGTTCTCCTGTGTAATGTTAGTCATACTTCCGTCTTCAGCTAAGCCTTGTTCCAAATTTTCTAATATCTGTAGTAAATTTTTTAAAGTAACCAACATAAGTTTAAACAGCACTATATATTAAATGCAAATTATCTACAATTGACAGCCTATATGAAAACCAATTCAGGCAGGAATACTTCACCTAGGTACTGTTCAAAATTACTGATTATTACCATGGCTAGATCAATTGCACAAAGTAAAAAAGCCATTGTACAGTAGAAGGATGTTAGAGTTCAGGTTTATGATACTTACAGAACATTAAATGTCAGCACACTCTAGGGACATACACATTTTGTTAAGCAAAACATGAAATATGCTTCACTAGAGAATGAATGTTAATGACGACAAAGAAAAGTCAAACTGATTTTTCATAGAAAGCCACTGCCTCTTGACTCCCCCACCCTAAGCAAGGGCTCTGGTTTCATCCTTTTGTCCTTAACGAAGTAGTCCTCTTAGTTCTTACTGCAATTTCCTTCTCAAAGTTTGGGGTTTATTCCTTCTTTTCTTTTATTATAGATTTTAAATCATGTAATTGTTGGGTGAATGAAACATTTGTTGCATTACTGGAAGAATGAAAATGTATACTTAATGAAGCTTGTGTCTTAAGCACTTTTAAACTATGTATGTAAAGTTCCATCTGAAATGCAAATCAACTTTTCTTTTTCTAATCCCATTACACATTCTCCAAATTTGTTTTCTGATTCCCACAGATCACCCTGTTTCTCCTGCTAGAGATGTATAACTTTGGTCGTAGAACACCGCTCGAGATCTCCTTCAAAAAAACCATTAAGGCCACTTGCTCTTTAATCAGCTGCTGTGGTTAGCCAGTTAAGGAAATACAAGGTGCTTCCTCTTCCGGGGACTGAGTGTGCTTCCGACTGCAGAGCTCTCAGCTTCTCTTAGTGTAAGAAGAATTATTTTTTTCCTACACCAGCAACGCATTCCAATTGTGCTCAGTACTTTGTAAGCAAAGACTTAAAAACAACACAGGAAATCCTCCAAGCAAAGACAGGTAGAATTAATCTGGTCTCAGACAGTATGTTGGTGCCCATTACAGTCAATGAAGAGCAATTGGTACCTCCAGGAAGTGAGTTCATGCCACCTATTTTAGACATCCTAAGGTGGAAGGAATTGCCCTAAGAGATACCAATCTCTTTTCGCAGACTAGACTGAAAGCTTGAAGTTAGGAGCTATAAATTTTGCTACAAGGAACTTAAGAGCAAGGAGAGACACATGATGAAATGACTGCAGTTACCACATGCCAGCTGAGCCAGGGTAATTTTCCCGCTAAGAATTGTTAGCCCCTGACAAATACAAGTAATATGATTTAGTGTAAACCTTGTTCGCAGAGGGCTAGGCTAAGTTGCCTTGCCTCAAATTCCAAGAGGCTATGAGCACACACCAGCAGATACTGCAGCTTAGTTGACAGGTGGCAATTTATGAGATCGCAGTGGCACATCTGCGAGACTGAACCTCAGTCCCACTTTCAAAAGCAGTGCAGCCGCTTAGCAATCCCTTGGAAACCAAAGCATCACATTTAAGTGTTAAATGCCCAGTGTATAATCAGGCTCCTTGTCAGAGGAAAAACCCAAACTTTTCTCTCCCAGAAATACCTTACTGTCTGTTTTCTGTCCAGTCTAAAACCCGTGATCTTTCTCTCCCCCTCGAAAACATCTAATGATCACTTCTCATTCTTAGTAAGGCTGAGTTCTTACTCTTGAAATGGCCTAAACACAAGGTGCCTTCATCAAGGAGACATGCTGTCTTGTTTAAAAAGACAACGCATTTGTTTGTCAAAGCCCTTCTGTGAAAATGTATTCACCGACATCATCAAAAAAGAAAGAATTTGATATTAGCATACAACTACAGTATTTACATTAACCATTCTGTGACATTACTTATGGATATCTAGCCATCACCTCAAGCTCAACATAATTAAAACAGAACTCAGTGCTGATTTGAGGCTAATTGTTTTATTCCCTAGGTTTATCTTCTTTTGCCCTTCTTAAGTCTAGGAACATCATCTGCAGTTTTTCAGTATTTGGGCATTTCCCCAGTTTTCCAAGAATTGTTTAATAATAACATTAATGATTCAGGTAGTTCCTCAGTGTAAGCTATCTGGGTTAGTTGACATGAAATGTTTAATTTTAGCAAATTCCCTCATCCCACTTTTCTACAGATGGTAAACTGTTTATTCTAGCAATATCACATGGGATAGGTCCAAATATCCTTGTTTATAATCTATTATAAAGAGAAATTTGATTGAACACTTCTACCATTTACTTAAACATCAGTTTTATGTATGACTTATGTTTTTTCTTGTTTTGAGTATTTGTAAATGCACACTCATTAGTTTTACTGGCTAGTATTACTTCACTGAGTCTTCTGTTTCATTCCCTATCAATCACCTGTATCCTGTAATTACCAACCTATGCACACCACCCTTTGCATTCCTAGTTTCCTGTTCTTACATATCTCTTTCAACTACTTTATTTCTTCTTCCACAACTCTTCACCACCATTAGCTTCTTACTCAAAATAACCTTTTTTGGTGCTTCTGGAATTGCATCTTTCTGGGTACTCAGACTAGTGCAGGATTGTCATAATTTCTATAAACTCAACAAATGAGGCATCAAGGCAAATACCCCCTAGACTGAAGTAACGTATGAGAAACAGAATACTTATGTGACCTTAGTAACTGAACCAGAACTGTAAGTTGAATGATAATAAACCCCAAAACCAATCAGTGGTTAAGAGACGGAAAAGTTCATCAATTTGGAAGTACAACAGAAGACCAGGAGAGATAAAGAGTGTGTATGGAAAGGCCAGGGAGGAACATAACTACTTATGAAGGAGAGTGGTGGAACTACAGAGGGAGTGGCTGATGGACAAATGGCACAAAGAATTTTTGAAGTCTTGCAGAGGTAACACTTGCAGAGCTTTTTTAGAGGAAACAAGACTGTTAACCCACTTGCCACTGTTCTACCCACCTGGTAGAAGAGCCCAGTACAGCTCTGCCACTTGAAGGATTAGGGTTAAAGAGTGAAATATGCTGCACTATGACATGTGTGCATTTCCAGGAGCTCTCCCTCAGCTAGGAAGCTTAGGTACAAACACAGGAGGAGTTTAGTTTAAGCCTGACTGTTGTTCTTTTCACATTTTGGTCTCCAGGTAAGCATTTATTAGCATGTCCTCAGGATTATTAGCACTAAAGCATTAAAGCACTGATCACATCTATGTTTTTTAAATGAACACTTGAAAAGAACAAACCCTTTTGTGATTTAAACTACTATTGTTACTCTTACTGCTTGGCTGTTCAGAGACCAAGGCGGACTTGTAAGGGCAACAAATCATTGAGGCAATTCATGGTGGGAAGACCAGCAATAAAATAGACACAGTAACAATTTCACTGGATTCCTCCCCCAAGCTATGATAGGCATTTGGCACTACAGATTATTTCTTTCCCAAATGTTGTACCTATAGACATTTTTTTTTCTGGAAAAGGTAAAAACATTATTGCCTATACAGGAAAAATGAAAATTGTGGTTCTGCACTCAACCTCCAATCCTGCTTCAGGTACCAGAAATACTTAAGTATATGGGGGCTGAGAAGACCAAGTTACCATAACAGTGACAAAGTAAATAGGGTTAGATCTTTAAGTAGAATGGCTAATCCAAAGTTGACAAGTGTCTGTAGACTGCATACAACAAAAAGCAAGATGGAATTTAGCAGGTTAAAAGGAGGTATCAGACAGGAAAAAACACTAAGGAAGAGAAACAAAATAGGAGACAAATTTTCTTACGATAAGAGTGCATTAGCATTAGCCTGAAACAGCCTCCCAGGGGATGTGGCCTCAGCTCCATAGGCTGGCTCATTAAAAACTAGAAAACAACCTTGCGTTGCAGAGAGACAGACTAGGTGAGCTATTAGGTCTTTTCTCTTTTCTAGCTTTTATGACTCCAAGATCATCTCATTTACATAATGACTATTCGTATGCCCTTCTGTAAATACGGATGACCAAAGATTATTTCTCCACTTTTTAAAATAGGGAAGTAAAACACTAGAGGCTTTTGGTTGAAAGCTCCCCAATTAATTCTGTTATAACCCGAATGGTTCCCAAGTGTCATATACAAATATTAAGACTAATGAGTGTACATCCTTTATGTTATTTTCTTGCTTATGCCACGGGTTTTCCTAAGTATTATGCACTTTATTCTTGAACATTCCAGGTAAGATTATTAGACTAACAGCATTCTATTAAAAAAAAATTAAAAACATATATCTAAACAATATTTTTTGTCAGCTAACCCTGACTTCAAATGGTTAAATTATCAACAATTTACAACTGTCTTTTAAAAACATATTTATCTTCACAAGCTGTCCTTTTTCACACTCTTGTTTCTACAGTTGTCTTTGAATTGCTCCAAAAGGCAAGGTATTTAATTGAATGCAAACAAATGAAGTAATCTGCAATGAGGTGTCTAGAATAACTAATCAGAAATATTCCCTTGAGAAGGACGGTATGTTTTATTTGTTCATTTGTAATCTTCTGTGTGCTGTACTTCAAAAAGGAACGTCCATCAACACAGGCAATGGCTTGTCCTGGCTACTGTATCCTGGCTCTGGTGGAAGCTGTCAGGAGCAAAGGGAGATCATTCTCTTTCTGACCACAGTTGGACATACTAACCCAGGAGAAACTTTGTCAGTTCAGACACAGAAAGGCAGAGCGGAAGAGAAGGCAATCTGTGAACTGTCAGCAAGTGCAGAGAACAGGGGACTCCACAGAAGAGCTAGGAGACAATGCCCAGGCAGCTTCAAAGAAGCTTTCCTCAGGGACACAAGAGGTCACACAGGATTTGTAGTGACCTAAGCCACTACAGGCTGATGGAGTGAGAACATGGGTAAACAGACCCATTCAAGAACTTAACGTGCAGGGAAATATGTATATTTTAAATCTCCTTTATTTCTATTTCATCTTCTCCAGCAGAAGTTTCCCTTATTTAAACAAATAATCAGCCTAGTTCGTACTCAAATAAAATCTTGCATTATAGTTTAAAAGCTTCCTTGGTATACTGGCTATACTTTAAGGATATGCACTTCAAGCAAAAGAACACAGGCAGAGCCACCTCAAGGTTGTAGATGACTTAAAGGTCTTGTAAAGTGGGGAGAGTTAATTTCCTTTTCTTTCACTCCTCTATTGACCAATAATCTTTAATCTGTGGAGAATCGTGGCTGATCAGACTGTAACTGAGATACGGCCGTTTCAATAACGTTAGCCAGATGGCTGATGAATGCCCTGCTCAGCAGTCATTTCCTCATTCTCATTCACACAATTTTCTCTCTGTTACAAGATAAAGGAACTGAGAAACCAGTTAAGTTTTTGGAACCTAGTGGCACCTGCACGACTGAAGGGAGACAACACAGCACTTAATACCAGATCGCATAAAAACAAGATATGAAACAGCTGATCTGCTGCAGACCAGGGTAAGCAAATGCCAGCAGAAGTACTGTGAAATCCTGCAACAGAGGAGTACGATGTTTCCTAGAAGAAAAAATTACTTCAAATTGAGGAGGCCTGTTTATGAAGGAAAAGGCTAGAAAGAAAAATCTGCCAGTAATATTATTAGATGAGATGGTCATGAATAGGTAACAGCATTTGTGAAGTGCTAAAAAGTAGCACTTCTTGGCCAAATTAGGTATCTCCCAACCATTTCTAATTAGTTCTTTCCAACTCTGTAACAAAATACCACATTCATCTCTTATTACCTAAACCTTTCATCTTTTTTCCCTCATAATACAGAGAACTGGGCTTTTTTCTACTGTAAACATTTGGTTATCCTAGAGACTACTCTGCTAGAGGCAAGCTGATTTTATATACATAAGGTCATTATCTCTATACAGTTGGCAATTATCAAATCCTTTCACTTCCATTATCCAAGTTATTTTCAGGAGTAAATATAGGAAACTTTCAAGGAATACTGAAAATAAAAATTAATCAAATGTATTTATCTTGCATACAGTTTTGAACTTCCTAGAGTCACAGATAAAACAGCAACGCTGCATTTCTTCTAGAGTTTACCACACTGTAACGTTCATAGTCACTGTTGTGTTAGACTACTTGGGAAAGACTTCTGCAGAAAACATTTAAGGATGAATGCTTAACAGTCAGCATGTTGGATTTAGTGGATAAGGTTAGTGCTTACAACACAATCACTCCTATTTCAGCACTGACAAATCCCATATTATAATTTAAGCCATAATTTTGTATTATAGCACTTGACAAAACAAAACCCCCAAAACAAACTCAGCAGGCTGCACTTATGTTCCCAAATGACCGCTGTTTCCCAAACCAGCTGTTCAGACAATTTCTGAAGGATCAAGACTATTTTTGAAGGATCAAGATCATTAACAACTGTGTTTTGAGCTTTGATGCAGCTGAGTAAGGTAAGAAAGCTCTCCTACTTGCCCTTAAACACATCTTTCTGTCCTCCGTGTCTTGTCTGGCAAAAGCACAAAGACAAGAGAACTATGTGTTGTCCACCGTTCTACTCATTTTAGTGAGAGCTACCACAGAGGAGAGAAGGATGTATCCTAAAATGGAAGAGGCACTTAACTATGTCTTTTCACAAGCTCCTTATATGTATCAAGATGGAGTAAAAAATGTCAGCGTTGAAACTTTATGTGCTTTATATGGACAGTAAAATATATTTCTTAAACATTAAGAAATGTTAGTGCACAGAGAAGCTGTTACCTTGGCGCAGATTATCTTCATGCTATGCAGTCTATCAAGTGATTCCTGAGGATTACCTAGGTACTGAGGAAGTTCAGCATGTAAAATCCGCATGGAGAAAGGAACCATAGAACCTAGAAACATAATTAATTCTATTAAATGTGTTTGCTGTCATGATCAGTTTGTGATTTGCCTACATTACACAACATATTTTCATTAATGTATATAAACACAAAGTTCATTTTACCTTCATATAGTTTTCTTCTTCTGACGGAAGATGTGAAAAATTTAAGAACAGCAAACTTTTTCCAAGTTATAACATGTAATGTACCGTAAAACTCTTTAAGTAGGTAAACACATATGTAACCATAATCAAGAAGGCAAGAAAAAGGAGCACTTAATTCAAATTTTCAAAAACAACTGTGCATGAAAGTATAATGTTTCATTAAAGATTTTTTTTAAACTAATTAAAATGAAGGATTTAAAAAAATGGAAGTTTACTCAAGTTGCACCTACCACATTATTCCTAACGTTTAATAATTATGCATATTTTACAACCAATGCAGAAGAAATAATATGAAATTATTGGCCTTAAAAGCACTCTTATGAAAAAGTTATATAACCAGGACATGCAAACGACTTCTACGTAATCTTTTTCCAAATAAACAGAAAGTTTTTTGATATGAAGAGTCCCCATATTACAGACAAAGAAATAAGAACAGAAAAACAACGTGAGTCAAAAGAAATAAAAAATAAGAACAGTATAATGAAGAACAAAAATAATACTACTATAATAGATAAATTAAATCTAAAAATATATCAAGGCCTCTGGGAAATTAAAATATATTAGAAAATATTTTGGTTTTTTTTTCTACTAATATCCATAGGTTTGTGTAAAGGTCTGAGTCCATTACCCTAAGCAGAGACCCTTCCATTGCTCTAAAGATGACTTTTAGTCCAAGATTTGCTTCATTAATGTTAGCTCTTCCACAGAGAGTTACTAAATGTCTCTATACTGTGAGACTGACTCTTAATAAAGAGGGTGTATTTTGTGTATTTACTGGTTTATTGAAAACATCAAAGAGAAAGAATTTTAAGCAATATTTGCGGAGAAAAGGATATTTCTTCCTTTTCATATTAGCTTACTTTTAGCCTTATTATAATATTTACCAAAGACCCAATCCTCTAAGTTTATGAGCATGCTGGCTGACTTCAAGGGCAGTTTCAGGAGCTTTAGGGAATCCTGGTGTGTGCAACATCTTGCTTTCAGATAACTGCATATTCCGATACAGAGATGATAATACTGAACATAAACTAAATGCTACTAAAAACAAATCAGAGCTAGCATAATGAGGAAACAAGCCCTGCAAAACACTTTGCTACTGTTCTAATATTTTACTGTAATACATTGGCTTACTTTAGACATATTCTAAGGGGATTTCCCTCTCAAGTCGCCTCTTGCCTCATCTTTTCTCAAAAATAGGACTCAGGAGCTTTTTAGAATGATTTTTGCACCTGTTTTTAACAGGCTTGTATGTCAAAGAGGTAAGTCACTGTGAGTCACTGCCTCTAGACGTTTTTTTAAAGGTTGACAAAATTTTAATCACAAACCTCACTAATTATGACCTTCAGAGTAAGCCACTTACATCTACATAAATTCTCTTTTGCCAATGCTAAACTATTCCCCCATGGCTTCCGTGACTGCTGTGTTCCCTTAACAGATGTACACACAAGTTTCATGCATCATCACATGTGAAATAGAGATTAAGAAAACAAAGCTGCTTTGACATTCCATCAAGAGAAATGTAAAAGGTTGTTCAACCAGTAACAAAAGATGTGAAATATTTTATGTATGTATCTGGACTGGTATCTAGCACGGCACAAGTGAAGACACACAGTCAGAGTGCAGGGGGTGAACAGCAGTGAAAAGAAAAGTGAAAGTATTTTAAGAGTAAATTCCACACCAGAACACCACAGAAAAAATGCCTTGCAGACACATTGTGCACTTATGAATCTGCACTGCAAGCCTATGGAAGCAAATGTGACCTGCAGCTGGTTCCATCTCTACTACCCCTCTGGTGACCAAGTTCTAACTCCATCATCCAATGGTAATCCTGCCAAAAAAAAGCAGTGCCCCAAAAAAGCTAGTTTGGTTCTGTTCTTTTGGGGAAAGTAGTCTTCATTTACTGTTAATCCATGAACCATGCACCTACCGCTGCACTCAACAGGATTTCTGAGGTAAAGGTAAAAGAAAGGAGAAGTTTTGTTCATCAGTAAAGCTTTGGAAAAACTGAAATAAAGAACAAAAGGAACCTAAAGTGTTAGCAAAATTTTTGGTTAATGACTGTGTTCTAGCATTTTCAACTCTGGACAAGTTTGTATCATTACATTCTCTTGTAAAATGCGGCAGAAGGTCAACTCAATAAATACTCATACAGAAAATCTGAATTGGTAACAGAACAGCTCAACATACAGATAGACGTGTATTTAATGGAGCGCAGATGAAATGTCTCACGTTATCCATTTTCATAAAATTTTTATGTTTTGTAAAACACTTTTTGGGACTGCATATTTTGTAAAGTATTGATCTTCTATATTGCTGAATGAAGCCACGCTATTATGACCCACGTGAGGGGAAGGAATAACCCATTACCCATCTACACCATCAGAAGTGGTGTCAGAGGATGTCAGAATGATGAATGAGACTCCAGGCCAACTTAGACTCCATAAGAATCTGATTTATTTCCTATCACAACTAAAACCGCAGTTGTTATAGGCATTCAGAACTATATTACTTCAAAATTTTCTGTATTAATGTAATATTTCTCAACCACTTAGTATTTCCTTCATAGCATGGGACCAAAAAGCGCTCCAGTGTGATCCTCAGTAGGTGCGTCAAGTGTGACAACAGATCCCTCAAACAAAACAAAAAGGAAGCTGGCCCGCGGTGTCAGGGTAGTCAGTGCAATGACTTTTCAAAGCAGAATTTATATTACTATTTCACGAAGGAGGAGCTAAGACTCTAGCATCTCTTCCCTCTTTTTCTTTTTGAAACTTGTGACATACAAGAAGTTTCATGTACTGCAAGAAATTTTACTGTAAGCATCCAGCAAATCCACCCAGTGAATTTCTGTTACTTACTGTTTAACTTTAACTGTTAACTTTATTTAAAATCTCAGAAACACCAACCATTTCTGCCCTCTTCCTCAGTTTCCTTGTAATCCTTCTGAATAGCAGAAATTTATTTTTTTTTTGGAAGAAAGCACAAAACTGTACGCATGCTCTGTCCCACAAGTGTGGTAACTGGGGAAAACAGAAGAGAAAAGAAATGCGCTTATACCACTGGTAAGGCTGTCTTACCACTCCATGTAAACAGTATTTTGTAACTTCTAAGTTAAATCAGATGAGCAAATTGCTCATAAAAAACCTGCAGCACTTATCCAAGACAACCATCCAAGCATATTCATTAAATACTCTAAAGAAACTCTGAAATTTTTGGTTTAAGTACATTTTCCCAGATATGTTCCCATCTCCATGTAAGCTTCTTTTTAGTTAAATGATACGAGGTATGGATAATCTATCTAATTCAGTTCCTACAGTTAGAAAGTGATTTTCTGGTAAAAAAAAAAAAAAAAAAAAAAAAGAAAAAAACTAAAATAAATTTACTTTAGATCAGGTAAAGCTTTCAATGCGTGCTACTTATATAAAAGTGCTAATACAGTTTACATACACTTCTCAGGAAGAAGTACATGGCAGTAATAGAAAATGTATGTGAAGAGATCTGTTCATCAAAATAATTGTGTAACTCCTGGTTAACAGTTGTTTAAAACCTGACAACATACCCCCCAAGTTCTCAAGCATCCAAAATCTGGATCTATAATTTTCTCAATCTAAAAAAATGGAACAATCATCTTTGAACTTGTCTGAAACAAAAATGTCAAGAGAGAGCCTGAGACAAGCAACAATAAGTTAGTAAAAATTTTTTTACAGGGTGGATGGTTATGAAACTTTGTTCTGACAGCACTCAGCAAGGTGACCTGTGTGCATACTGTGGTGGAAGAGAACATTGTGAGCGTAATGGGTTTGAAATGCAGCCCAGCAGAACTTCATGGGGTGAACAGGTGATGAAAAAGGCAAAGGCAAACCAGAATACGACCCCTGTGAATCTTCATCAAAGCCACACCAGTTCACCGATAAGAAGGTAAAAAGCAAAAAAATAAGAGAATCACAGAAAGTGCTGCCTTGGAACAGTTAACTCTGAGCTCACTAAGAATTTTGGTCTGAACAACAGGTCATGAATTTGTTGTTCTATGATGTCACCATATCATGTTGCATTGAAGACTCATCATTCAGCCTTTTTCTGCCAAAAGAACAACAGTGAGGAGGAGCCCATTCCTGTTGTTAAAAAAATATACGACAGAAGAATGAACTGCAGAGAAATCTAAAAACACAGCCTCCATGCTGTCTTGCAAGACACAGAAGTTGAGCCTTCTGATAAGTATTCCCTAACATTTTAATATGAAGATGGTGACAAAAGAAGAAGAGTTGAGACCTAAAAAAGGTGTGTCTGTGATTTTAGAAAACACTGTTATTTTTCTTTTACATTGTCTAGGCTAACAAGAAAACAAGTGGGAAGAGGTAAGTGACATTTGTTGATGACTCTAGTAGATCAATAATAATAGTGTTATGAAGGTCTGAAAGGCGAGTTGTAGAATTCAGAGAACAAAATTTAATTAAAAAGCAGATTAACAGCAGGGAAAAAAAATACACTTTCCTCAAGAAACACAGTTACGTTGGGGAAAAAACGAAACAAAAAAAGTAAGATTGACTACATTAACACTAAGCTGTAACAGAAATACATGTGCTTGTTAGTTTAATAATGACATTACATTGCCTGAAAGGTTTCACCTACTTGCTTACTCTTGGGCCACATATTTAAGGCACACCGTGTAACACATACTTCTTTGTAATAGGTTCCTATACAAGTGGGCATATATATTCCTGTGATATCCCACTAGAGATAAGAGAATTTAATATAAAAAATAACATGGATTGTGGCATATGTGCCGCCTTTTGCAAAACTATTTGGAATCAAACCCATGTCCTCTATTATATTTCACTCAGTACTGAATTT